TTTCTAAGATTTTTTTTTTTTTTTAAAAAATTTTTTTTTTTTTTCAGTGGCCCTATTTTTACACAACCAATTAATATTAGTTATAACTGGAGACAGGAGTGTGCTACTTATACCAAACTATGTAACAAACTTGTAGCACAAAGGTCAAATAGACCAATCACAGTTATTGGCTCCGCCCACACAGACTAGAGTCTCCTGCAGAGACTTCTCATGTGACTCAAAGCAGCATTAACCTGTGGTTTTAAATGTGTCTGAAGAGTTTTACACCAGTATTTATAACTGTATTTTAATGTAAATATGTATTTTCTGAAAGTGTTGTGTTGTTTGTTGTTTGTCGTCCAGTGGGGAGGTGTCGGTGTCGTGTCTTCAGAGCCACGCCCTGTCCTTCACAAACTCCACGTGGCAGCTGCTCCAACACACCACCTCAGCCATCAAGACGTGGGCTCAGGAGCTTCTGACACCAGCAGGATAACACAACACAACACAACACACACACACACAGTGTGTGCAGGCAGATACTGTACGACACACTCTGAGCCTTTCAGTGTGACGGCTCCTCTGAAGCCATGATTGGTCAGAAACATGTTTTTACCTTCYTGTCACTGCACGATCTGCAGCTTTACTACTTTATTCTCTGTTTTCTACAGCCTTCTGCTTTAACTCCTGAACTATACAGATGTCATTTATAGAAAATACAAGTTTGTAGATTTATAAACATTTTTATTTAAAGAAATAATAAAAAATGTTTTATGAAGCGTGGTAAAGAGCAGGAAGAGAAACATAAAGAAGCCACTTGGTTTAAACTGAGGACCACTTCATTAAACGTGCTAACAGAAAGAAAGTGGTCCACATGTTGAAGGGTTCAGGTGGACAGAACCTGAAGAGTCACTCGTCTGTTCAGATTAAATAAATCTGTTTTCTGTCGTCCTGCTTGCTTCATGTTTTCTGTTTTTTCTCTGTGAGCTCTCAGCAGTGATCGTCTGATTTGTGTTTGTGTGACTCAACAAGCTCGTTGTCGTCTCTGCAGCATCCAGCTGACATTTAAAAACACGAGGAGAAACATGTCAGAGCAGCCCGTTCAGACGGCTCCTCGTTCATGAGGCTGGATGGAAATGGCAACAACTAAAGTCTTAATTTGTAATGTGAATCATTTATAATAAAGAGGATGAACCTGGTCCTTATGAGTCGCACTAACTTCATTCAGCTGTGTGTTCAAACTCACAATATTTACTTTTTATCATTTTTTATGTCATCATTTAAATAAATCAATGAAAAAAAGATTTCCTATCACAAATAAATTTGATTCAAAATAGCTAAAGTAGGCTGCAATCATCCTGTAGCTTCATGTGAAACCTTTTAAATATTCTATATTTCAAATTTATTCTAAGATATATAATTTTAAGAAACATTCTACGATATATCCCCCACAGTGTTATAATTAAAAAGAAAACATCATTACTAACTGTAGTGTTTTAATCAAGCCATGAAGACAAATGGAGCTGCAACAACACACAGCTAAAGGAAGTTCTTAAAACACACACACACACACACACAACAGTTTGTGTCATCTTAAAACAAACACACACACAGACAACAGTTTGTGTCATCTTAAAACAAACACACACACACAGACAACAGTTTGTGTCATCTTAAAACAAACACACACACAGACAACAGTTTGTGTCATCTTAAAACAAACACACACACACAGACAACAGTTTGTGTCATCTTAAAACAAACACACACACAGACAACAGTTTGTGTCATCTTAAAACAAACACACACACACAGACAACAGTTTGTGTCATCTTAAAACAAACACACACACAGACACAACAGTTTGTGTCATCTTAAAACAAACACACACACACACAGACAACAGTTTGTGTCATCTTA